GTATCCCGTATCAATGAATTAGTCGCTCTGGACATCCTGGGGCCGTTCTCTCCATCGGCTAGGGGCAACAAATACCTTCTGGTCGGGGTAGAATATTTTTCTCGATGGCCTATGGGCCTGGCCTCTGCCTGACCAAACGGCCGCGTCCATCACCGATGCTTTCTTGAATGGTTATGTCATGGATAAAGGAGCACCCGAGAGGCTGCTCACAAATCAGGGACGTAACTTCTCCTCCAAATTGCTCAAGGATGTTTGCGATGCGCTGGGCACCAAAAAAATCTGCACTTCCCCTTACCATCCGCAAACGGATGGCATGGTGGAATGATTTAACCGCACCCTTTCGGCTATGCTTTGTCACACGGTGAGTGAAAAACAGACCGATTGGGACTTGCACATACCGGGCGTCCTAGCAGCCTACCGCATGGTTCCGCACGTGTCCACAGGATATTCGCCATTTTTCCTGATGTATGGCCGTGAGAATGCACCCCCCATTGATGTGCAACTGGGTACGCCGAGTAAACAACCGTCCCTTTCCTTGCCTGGTCACGTACGGGCCTCGCTTGCACGGGTTACAGAGGCGCGAGAGGCCGCCAGATGTGCGACGGTCCGTACGCAGGCAAGGAACGAGGGGTGTGCGCGTCGATCGCGTAGTCACATGCCCTGGTCAGTGGGTGATCTGGCATGGCTCCACTGCCCTCAGGTGCCAGCGGGCACATCCCCTAAACTGCACAGGCCTTGGCGGGGGCCTGTGATGTTGGTGGACATTCGGAACCCACAGAGTGTTCGCGTCCAATACGGAAACGTCGGTGGTACGTCCATTCGTCGCGACTCAAACCCTACGTTGACCCGCGTGCCGACCCCTCATCTCCACTTGTTGACCTGCCGGGGTCTGCTGTGCCAAATATGCCACTTGCCTCGCCCATTGATCCCCAGCGGGACTGTGTTGTGCCCCCCGCAGATGAACAGGTTTTGAGGGCTGATGAGACCCCCGCCGTCCCTCCTCCAACGGGACATACCCCGGATACGACCGAAACTGAACATTCTCCTTCTTCTTCTTCACGTCAACCACTTCCTGCAGATCCGGCGGCAAGGCGACCATGCGCTGGAAGTGGAGAGGGTCCCGCGGCGCGTACGCGGTCGAAATCTCTTCCGTTTCGATAGCATTGATTGCCTTGCAGTCCCTTCCCTGTTGTTACTGCGCTGCAGGGGCGCCCTAATGTATGTCTGTTGTTCATGGGTGATTTTGTTTTTGTTTTCGGCGCATAGACGCCTGTTTCACCCCTTTCCTTGTTAATGCGTCTTAGACGCCCTAATAAGCAACTTTATGGGATCGGCTTGTCACCCTTTTCCCAGCCGAGACGGCTGACTTTTTCACCGGGGGGGGGGGGAGGGGTGATGTAATGAGAGCCTATGTCCGGCTCACGTGGTGATCGGCTCTGCCGGTCCTGCACTACAGCCAATGGGGGGAGAGCCTGGGAGCATGGATCTGGCGTGATCGAGGGATGTCAGCTAGGATGATTGGTTCTGCTGGTCTTGGCCTCAGCCAATGGGAAGACAAGTCAGGGGCGTGGTCCCAGGAGTTGATGGGGGAATCTGGAACATTCAGCGCAGGCTATTAAGGATTGGCTGGAGCGTACCACGTGACCCAGGCATTAAATAAGGGAAGAGCCGAGGGACACGTGGTCAGACAAGGAACGGAGAGAGGGGCCACGTGCGAGCGGGGCTCCGAGTGCCACGTGGCGGTGCGTCTCTTGAGATCTGTCTGCCCACTTCCCGTTGCCTGCCAGCAACGGGGAGTGCTTGTGAACTGAGATAAGTAAATAAAAGGACCGATTCCACAAGCCGTCTCCAGAGTATTATTACACACACACAGTGTACACCACACATACACAGCATACACCCCACACACACACAGTGTGTACACACACACAGTGTACACACACACAGTGTACACACCACACACACACAGTGTACACACTAACACACACAGTGTACACACACACACAGTGTACACATTAACACACACACACAGTGTACACACACAGTGTACACCATACACACTGTACACACACAGTGTGCACACACACACAGTGCACACACCACAGTGTACACACACACAGTGTACACACCACAGTGTACACACACAGTGTACACACACACACAGTGTACACCACACACACACAGTGTACACACACACAGTGTACACACCACACACACACAGTGTACACACACAGTGTACACACACACATACAGTGTATACACCGCACACAGTGTACACACACACAGTGTACACACAGACACACAGTGTACACAAACACAGTGTACACACTAACACACAGTGTACACACACAGTATACACACCACACACACACAGTGCACACACACACACAGTGTACACACACACACAGTGTATACACCGCACACAGTGTACACACACACACACAGTGTACACACCACACACACAGTGTACACACACACACAGTGTACACACACAGTGTACACACATACACAGTGTACACACCACACACACAGTGTACACACACACACAGTGTACACATATCACACACACAGTGCACACACACAGTGTACACCACACACACACAGTGTACACACACATACACAGTGTACACACCACACACACACAGTGTGCACACACAGTGGACACACATACACACAGTGTACACACACACAGTGTACACCACACACACAGTGTACACCCCACACACACAGTGTACACACACAGTGTACACCCCACACACACACAGTGTACACACACAGTGTACACCACACACACACAGTGTACACCCCCCACACACACAGTGTACACACACACAGTGTACACCCCCCACACACACAGTGTACACACACAGTGCACACACTAACACACACACACAGTGTACACACACCGACACACACAGTGTACACCACACACACACGAAGTTTATTCACCAGGTACCCACAAAGACAACGATCCCCGTCTAAAGCCTTGGCACAGACTGCCCGGGAAAGTGCCGCTGGATACACAACACGTGAAAAGCGACGACAAACGGAAAGGATCACGAAAACAGCCCCGCATGCATTATTTGGGTAAATGCTGTAAGCGAGCACCTATTAAGGCCGGCTCAGCACAATTGCCTGTCCGAGTGTTGGTGTTTGCTCACCTCAGCAGGAACACGTCAATGGTCGAGTTCACCTCAGGGGGAGGACCATCGCAGGTTCAGATACAACTCGGCCACTGAGGTTGCAAGTGAAATGGAGTATCGGTGACATCACCTCCGCGCTTGTGCCAGGCTAGGTGCACTTTGAGGCCCTCACGTGAAGTGCTGCTGGCAAGTCACGGGATACACCCAGCATGTGTGCATGTTGCACCTCTTTCGCACCGTACCTAGCCAACCGAGCTAATCTGTGGTGCGGGAGATAATTGTAGACCCGGGTGTTATGGGTTTGCTGACCTTGAAAGTGCATCACGTGTGTTCCCCGCTGTGTTTTAGCCGCCCGTCGCTTCGCTCGTTTGCGTGAGCGTCGCTCCTCCGCCCTCCGTTGTTGTTGGGAGGACGGCCGCCTCCAACTGCCCAGTAGCAGCGTCCTTCACGAGCCTCCTCCATTAGAGGTCGATCTTGGCACTGCCTGCACGAGCCATTGGCAACTCCACTGACCCCCCCCCCCGTACCGCATCATCTCCAGCCCGTGCCGTGCTCGTTTACCCCCCACCCCAACCTCCATACGGCCAAACAAAAGCCGCGTGGGGCATACGGTGGCTGGGCATGCGGATGAGATGACCCAGCCAACGCAGCTTCGCCTGCTGGAGGAGCGAACCGATGACATTGTCCATATGTTTGAAGGTTACGTGAGCTCGCTAGAGCAATCTGGACAAACCCCAGGATGGATCGTATCCAGACCGGCCTCAGTAGTTCCAAGTGGACGCAGGTGTTTCTATTAAATGGGAAAAAGGGGTATAGCTGTGGTCAGCGTGAAACCTACTTCCAAACTTCGTGCGGAGCGGACTCGAGGCGACTTTCCACAGAAGAGCGCGGCAAATGAAAAGATGACTTCACGGAGACGGCGATCACATCTTGTTTACAGCCCTGAGCCGAGTGGTGGGAATTCCGCATTCATCATTCAACGGCTGTTGACTCACCGACAAACTTGTGCTCACTTCGACTCCAGATGGACTGTGAGCTGCTTCAACCTCCAACAGTCACTCACACCTTCAGATCCACGCAACGATGTCTCGTATAGTTTTGAACAGACTGTTGGCGAGCACCTCCTAAGGTCAGATATTCTTCATGCATTGTTGGCTCTAAGCTGGAATCGAGCTCGGGTTGCCAGGTTCGTAACGCAGTACGCTAACCCAGTGGCACCGCTCACACACCAAGACCCCCATACAGCCTGTAACAGAACTGTTGGGGCAAGTGCTGTTAGCGAGCACCTATGAAGGCCGGCACACGAGGTAGGTGGCCAGCTGTCTTTGTCTTCCTAGTGGCGACATTTATACATCGCACCAGGTACATTTAAGTCTGAGTCGACCTAGGGAAGTCCCATGACCACCCACTCACCAATTCTCACACAACCACCGGCCCCCACCCACACACCAACACACACCGACATACAAATACAAAGAGCCCCCGTATAGCGCTAACAGACTGTTGGGCAAGTTCTGTTAGCGAGTAGCACCACGCGGAGGTGGGTAACCAGCAACAACGCCCAGCCGCCTTTGTCTCCCTAGTGGCGATATCTACATATTGCACCAGGTACTCATTTGAGGCTGAGTCGGCCTAGAGGAGGCCCAGGACCAGTTCAGATAATATAATCGTTACTGGTGGTGGCCGTGAGCGGGAATAGAACTCGGGTGACCTGGTTCGTAGCGCAGCGCACAGACCACTACACTACCGCTCCCTCATATACCCCCTCCTACTCACACACCAATACATACTAACAACCCCTCACACCCACACACACACCTACCCACACACACACAGACACACACAGGGGACGCGATGTCCACAGAGCCGGGGTTTATTTACAAGGAGGAGGCCGGTGCCGTGAGTTGGCAGCGCGCGTGGTTAGCAGATCGCCGCGCTTGTTAATGGTCGCTAAATAAATACTCGAGAAACGAACATCGTCAAACAGCCCCCAATGAAATACGCCACCCTGCAGCCACCACGACCACCACCGCCGCCGTCAGTGGCTCTGCGGTGAGAACGCGAACTCGCCCACTCGGGGGGGGGGGGGGGGGGTTCACGCCACAGCGTCGCTCGCTCCTTTGCCAGGACTCCAACCCTTTCCCGCTGCACCCGAGAGGTGCCAGAGCGCAGCGCCAGCGGCGTGCACGATGCGCAGTGCACGCCGCGTCGAGACGCAGTGCACGCCGCGTCGAGACGGCGCGATGAGAGGGAGTGTGCGCTACAGAGTGTGGACTGGAAGGAGGCAACCGAGCGGATAGCGCTGCGCTAACGAATCCGGCGACGCGAGTTCGATTTCCGCTCACGGTCAACACCAGTGACGAATACCTGAACCGGTCCTGGGCCTCCCCTAGGTCGACTCAGCCTCAAATTAGAACCTTTTGCATTGTGTAAACATCGCCTCCTTGGGGAAACAAAGGCGGCCGGGCGTGATGCTGGTCACCGACCCCATCGTGTGCCGTGCCGGCCTTCATAGGCGGTCGCTCACATCACTTTCCCCAAGTCTGTTAAGGCTACACGGGGATCTTTGTCTTTTGATGGGAGGGTGCGGCACGGTCCACAGCTCTTCAGGCATCCGCTGTGCTCGGTCAATGGGGAAGTTGCGCGGTTCGGGGCGTGCGCCGTCATCGGAGCGGACTTCCACCGAGGGAGCCTTCAAGAGGAGTCCTGCGCGCAGACGCACAGACTCGCGGTCGTGGCCACGTGCTCGTGAAGCGGTCGGGCTTCGTGGGGACGACTGCGGGTTGCAGAGCCGACCCAACAGGAACCCCTCGGCTTCTTTGTCTTGTAGCGAGACCCCGCGAGGCAGAACCGGGGGAGTTGCCTCTTACGTTTGGTTTCCTTTAAAACGAGGTCCGCGTGTTCTTTGACGATTTGTGTTTTCGTTATCGTTGCTGTGTCCGTCACTGCCAAACTCACTTTCGTCAAATAACATTTGTGTGTACACGATGAGTGTGACTTTAAATATACTTTCAGGGAAGTATGCTGCGATATTGATTTGCTTTGTTCTTTCTTTCTCAAACGCCACCACTGCGAGCGGGATTCGCCGCAGCGCTCTCGAGAGTCAATTGAAAGTTTCCGCGTGGAGAAACGGAAACCTTGAAAATAACTCTCTGTGCGCAGACCCCGTGGGTAGAGGACACGCTGCCCTGGGAATCCGTAAGGGGTGCCCGAGCGGGCCGCGACCCCAAATCAACCCCTCGACACGCCGACCTCAACACAGGAGCGAAGCCCCTCCGAGCCTGCACACTGATGAATTGTTAACAAGCAAAAAAAAACTGCAAAGGATATATATTTAAATTGTTGTGCCCTCATACGTGGGTTATCACGTCACGTCCCGGTTTCCCTCCCACATAAAGCCAAACGTTTATTGCAGGAGGAAAGCCATATCAGTACAACACATGGTTGGCTCGCTTACTCGGTTTAAAATCAGCATGCGCACTGCCGCGTGGATCAGCCCCGACTGATGAACACAGCGCGGGACACATTCGCTCATATCCACGCGCCCTTATTTTGCGTGGGTCATGAGCCAATGTCAATCTTCCCCCATCACAGTAGAAGCCGATTATATACACACCTTATAAGTACAGTTCTGATATATGCAACACACCCTAACATTACACCGGCGGGAAGACGTATGGCAGCTTCTGATACAAATACTCTACACTTGGAATACCGTGTCCCACTAGCTCCTCCACCACCACACTGCAGCCCACAGCAACCCACTCACTCATGATTAGCATCGTTGTCCTTCCTCGCACCTCCGATTAACACGATTGGCTCTGTACGGTGCGAAAGTTCAACATATATACAACCCATTCACTCACTCACTCACCCACTTGCCACACAGCAATCCACTCACTCGCACACACACTCACTCACCCACTCACTCTCACCCACTTACCAATTCACACTCAGTCACTCACACCCACTCACTCATCACTTCTCTTTCTTCTCCCCTCGCGCCGCTCCACTTTGGAATTCCCTCCCATCGCCGTCTATCCCACCGAAGCGCTCATAAACAACAACCGTGCCCAGCGGAGACAAGTGTTAACCCTCATCCATTACAACCTTGATAAGAGATGTTTGTTGCCGGCCGAATGCCGTTTCGGACCTTTTGGTCAGCAACTATCAAAAATAACAAAACAACAAAGAGAAGAGATACGTGTGGCCTTGCTCCCAAAGCGAAGCGCTCGGTCGCTCAGCACCCAGCTTCTTCCGCTCGATCAGCAGGGCCTCCTTGGTCTCCCTTTCGGCTGTCACTCGGCCCGATCAGTCGAACGCACAGCGTGGAGGAAGCACGGACGAGGGGATCCGCCCGACGGCGACTTCAAAAACACCGTGGATGAGGAGGGAGCCTCCGACGATAACGCAAAGTCACGGTTTGGTCTTCTTGGCCTCGCGTGCTTAGAAATCGCGGTCACTTCGGTGGCGGCGGGGGGATGCGAGCCGGCACCCTCGGTGTGACGGGGGTCTTGATGGTAGCGAAGGAGCTGCGAATCGTTCATCATCACCTTGCTGCTGCTTGGGCAACAGCTGCTGGGACCAGGGTACGAGGAGGAGCCGAAGCAGCGAGATGTGCGGCGAAGGACAGATGCGTGAGGTGGCAGAAGCAAAAGAGGGCACAGGGGTAGCTCGGTCACAGCCAAGAAGCTGGGAGGAGGTGGGGAAAGAGCTGCGAGAAGCAGCTGATGATGAGGAAGTGGTGGGAGGAACCTGGAGAGAGATGCGAGAGGAAGAGACTGGGAGAGCTCAAGAATACAGATGGAGAAGAGAAGTCGTCTCCTCCTCTTCGCAGGGGGTAGGGGACTCTGTCTAGAGATGATTTGTGAGCTCCTCTCCTATGCCATCGCTTTTCTTTGTTCTGAGTAGCAAACAGGTGATGGAACATCAACATCAGCTACCATTCTCCACGAAGTGGTGGTGATATCAGCAAGGAATTTGTGCCAGGCTAGGTGTAGTCTGAAACTGTGTAGCGTCAATAGCCTCGCTGGCACGTGGTGACGGGATAGACCCAGGTGCCATGGGTTGACTGAAATGCCCGACAGATGCACCACCTGTGCTCTCTACAGTGCTCACTCGCTCGATAAGCCACCCGGTGCTCCGCTCGTTGTTGTGAACGTCGCAACGTCACCCTCCATTGTTGTTGGAGGGCGACTGCCTCCACCTGCCCAGTAGCGTCCTTCACGAGCCTCCTCCACAGAAGCCGTTCTTGACACCGCTGGTACCAGTTATCGGCAAGTTTCCCATACCACACCAACCCCTCCTCCCACCCCCCCCCCCCCCGAGTACGTGATATACCCAAGGCATGCCTCTTCATACTGAGTGAGAGTTCCACAGGACATGACGAAGCCAACGAAAGGATAACGCAGCTCTACTGAAACTTCCACTGCCAAACCAGAGCTGGCCACGAGCAACATTGCCCAGGTAAGCGAACACCTCCACCCTCTCTACAAGCTCCCGGGTGTTTTGCTTTGGTAGGGTGATCCTAAGGCCCCATCTCTTTGTGGTATCCTCTATGCTAAGCAAAAAAGCCTCTTAACTTTTTCTCGGAGTGAGCAACAGCATATCTAAACAACAGCATATTCTAAACAACAGCATATCTAAGATGTTTTTATCAGTTTGGGAGACGTCTCTAGATATCGCCCGGTATCAATTAGCCTCCCACTGCATCTGTACCGGATATAAATTCCACTGCGACTGCCATGGAAAGCTACTCCAACTACGTGCTGAAAAAGTTAAATCGCGTAGGGGCCAGAGGTCATCTCTGTCACATCGCAAGGCAAACAGGGAATGGCTCCAACTCCAGACCACACAGCTATAGCTGGGACTACCCACCATCATGAAGGGCCTTAATGATCATAAGCAGAGGATCAGGGACCTGGAAAGCACCAAGAAACTAAAGCCCTCGTTTTTTTGTAATGGTATCATAGGCCTTGAGCATGTCTTTTAAGTAGAGATCTATATCCCGTTAACATTATTTGGCAAGACTGGTGAGTCAGATGCCTTCCATGGTCTCCTCTACCAGGTGTGGCCCCATGAGTTATCTTATTTGAGGACTTAAATGCCCAAGTGGGTCAAGAAACTCGCACTTGGGTAATAGTCATTTGAGACAATGAGCCAGATCAGCTCAACAAACATGGTACTTAGCCAACGGGTTTGTAATCACCGACACAACTGTTCCGCCATCGACACATTAGACACCATCTTGGGTGCGCGCCGAGTCTGAGAAAAACTCATGTACTGGACTACGCAATGGAAGAAGAGTGAATGTGGGGCCATGCCTTTGATACCTAGAGGAACCTATCGTGGGTGTGGTCCGGGCACCGAACCATCGGCTTGTCATCTATGCGGTGGCGCCGACTTATGTTCTTTCACTGCGGCGGTGGTGGTGGATGTCAACCTACGGTTCCCCCTTTCAAGCCCGCAACGGCGAGCTGTTGAGAGCTGCAGGCGAGTATTTGACGACTGCTTTGCTGTTCAGTTTGGCGTCTGGCTCCCTCCCTTCTGATGCCGAGAGGGAAAATGGTCAAGGTTCAGGACCGTTGCTTACGCAGCCGCTACCGCTGTGGTATCTAGTCCGGACCTCCCCAGAAATCGTGGATGATGATGGAGTAGGTGTTTTCAGCGAGCCGAGATAAAAGCAGCAGAACCAATTCTGCACAACATCAGTTGCGCGCGCGTCTGCACCACGTCAACTCTGGCGAGCGACCCCCACGGCAGCAGCAAAGTGCCATTGAGGCGAGCGCCTGAAGAATTTTCCCGCAACCACGCTCTCGGCCTTAACGCAACTTTAGAATGCGACGACTCCTCGATACACGCCAACAGCGAGGCTGCGTGGCCTTCAAAGGAATCATACCGTTACAATGTATATGTACGCACACGCACAAGCGCACACACATGCACGCGCATGCGCACGCAGCGCCACGTACGTAAACATGATATACTGTAGCGTTCAAAATGTAGTGAGAGTGAAAATCTGCTGCGCGAGTGCCAACACAAACGTGATTGCCGAAGGTTGTAATACTGACAATGGCGCAGCAAATAAAGAGTTCGCGTTCGGGAGTCCTGTAAACTGCCCGCGTCTCAATCCCGCGCGTCCCCAACGCAATACTGCTCAGCGGGCACAGCGCGAGCTCCACCCCCCCCGGAGTCGGTGGCTTTGATCTCGCCAGGATTCCTCCCGCCCAGCAGTGCAGCATCCCGCAGGTGAAGGTCACAGTGATGGGCGCAGCTCGGCCTCCAACGACTCGTTAACACTGATGGTGGTGTCGGGCTCGGTGGGCCACGGGCCGACCACCCTGATAATGCACATGCGAGCTTAATTAGTAATCTACGCGTCCCCCCCCACCCCCAGCGCCCTCCCCCACCCTCGGAGATGATATTCTCACGAAAAAAAAATGTACGCACAAAATCATTACAAATATGTAATGGGAGTGCGATTGGTAGACTAAGGGTATAAAATCTATACAGGTCGAGCGGGAATGTCATCTCCGCTAGGACGGCAGGGGTAGCGGAGGTAGCCGGGGGAAGCACATTTTAAGTACTTTTGGGGGGGGCAGATGTCATGATGAACAGTTTAAACTTAACATTTAAAAAAATAATACTAATATTTTTAAAAGCGCTACAATTTTACATTCCAGCAGGGCCAGCGGGTAGATCCCATGGCAGCGCCGCGCTCACCATACAAGGGAACGTCAGTGCCGCCTCCTGGCCGAAGAAACCCAGAGCGCGATTGTTAATCGAGAACACAAAGTAACACTGATCTAGCGCCGCCATCACCGTCGTCGTTGTCACCGTCGGGGGCCGTCATCACGCGGCGCCGATTCACGCCAGGCTCCCCACGACGCTCTTCCGTCGACGTCTCGGTTCCTCTCTCGGCTCCTCTTCCCCGGGGCCGCCAGTCCTACGCGTCCGGGAGCGCGAGCGCTTGACGCCCAAGCGGGTGGGCGGTCGGGCGGGGGCCACGGGTGGCACCGCGCGTGCCGGGGTTTGGCACCGCTCGCCACCGCTGCGCATTGGGAGCGTGCCAATGCGTGACATGATATGCTCAACTCTCGCGTACGTCGCGGGGGGTGTTTTTGTTATCATTTTGATTTGAAGTCTCCTCGGTCCGAGCGTCGTGCACGCGTCGCTTTTTGTCGATGTGTTTTTCGTTCACGGTGCGTGGAGATGGAGTGCAGAACCATTTCCTTTCCCCATAGCGGCAAACGGAGAGAGGGGGTGGGAACCGCAGCGCCCTCCCGCTGCATACATCAGTGTCAAACAAACATGAGCTTGCGCCTGCCTGTTTACGTTGTCCCAAATACCTTTAAACGCCTGACCCTACCACTCCGCCTTTTCCACCGCTGTCATTGCGCAACCTAGGTCGCCAAGAAAAATTTGGCACTTGTCGCAGTTATGAACGCGAAACAAAAGTTAGTGGGGGGTTTTTTTGCTGGCTCTTTAAAGTATTTTGCTACTTGTTTTGCTTTCAGCTTATTTTCCATCGCAAGGTGAGCAAGGAGGAGGTCCGTGGCTGCCAAGTCAGCTCCTGCGATGGCTCCTCGCCTCGACCTCCCCCCCTGCCCCCCCACAGCCCCCCGGGGTCAGATGCCTCCCGTCAGGTCCCTGATGACTCTGCCCCGCACGAGCTTCCGCAGGAAGTCCTTCTCCCTCGCGATGTTGTGAGTCCACGACTGCGGGGTCGGGGGGGGGGGATCGGCAGCAGTGGGAGGAGAGGGGAAGGAGGAGGGGGGGATAGTGAACAGTCAGGAGGGGGACGAGGACAGCGAGGGGTGGTGCGCTGAGCGGGGAAGGGGGAGGGGCAGGGCCGGGAGGAGGCGACATGGAGGAGGGAGTGGGAAGGTTTGGAAAGCGAACACCGAGGCAGGCGGCGCGGGTGAGGACATTGGCAAAAACGGAGGGCGGCTCGAGATCTTATCCGCGTTTGTCGCGGATTATATAATTTGCTTTGAGCTCAGGCGCTGCCGTAGCTGTGCGGGTGCTCCCTCGGAGCAAGCACTTTGTAAATAAACTTCAAGTCTACCTCACTAGGATGACAGGAGCTGCAACGACAACAAAAAAACTCATTCTTTATGGGCCTCGGGGCCCCACTTTTCAGTCCCCTAAAACCCAAACAGCCCCGTTTGTTTGTGTGCTAATAGACGGGGTGGGGGGGGGGGAGCGGTGGGGGCGCACTGCAGCACTGCCAGCCAGGCAGGACCTCTCACTGCAGCGAAAAACCACTCGAAAACAGCAAACATGGAATGTGTAAAGAAAGGAGAGGACGACGGCTTATCCATTGGGAGCAGCCCGCTTGCCCCACTCGCAGTAAACACCCGCCGGGGTAAACGCTCTCTCGCTGACCCGTGATAGAGCCCCTGGAGTGATCCCGCTGTGGGCTCACCCCGGGGCGGGACATGTCGCGCGTGCGTGCCACAGACCCCCCTCTACCACAAACCCCCATGATGGCTCGGCCCCCCGGGGGGGGGGCTAAAGGTGGCCCCGCGGGGCAGTGGCGATACTCGGAGTCCGCTTGCTTGCGCCGGCCTCTGCGCCTCCGTGAGCCGTTTGCGATGCATCCTTTGTGATTTTAACACGTAGTAGAAGCAGTGCTTTCTTGACCAACTATATCCACGATAGAGGTTTTTTGTTTGGTTATATCGCGTGAATAAAGATGTGTCGTGAATACCCACGACCACTACCCGACAATAGTAAGGTTTGTCACGTCAACAAAACGTGCCGATTAGTTACGAGTTTAGCACACCGGTTGTGTGTTGGAGAGTAAACCCACAACATTTACAATTCAAGTACCGTGACGTTCACCTGGTAATTACAACCAGCAGCCTTGTCAGGCGACAAACAGCTGCGGAGAAATCCTCCTTCTGTTTCGGTCTTAAGTAGAGGGGGTAAATGTGATGTCGTCACTTGTGAGCCAAACCAGAGGGCAGGTTAATGTAGTCATGACAATGACAATGGATATCGATTATTAGTTGGATCATTCACAATTAATGTACGTACATTATGTACAATATGTTAATCTAACAGTATGCAGAGCAGCAATTAATCCAGTACACACATTCATAGCTTTGCTAATACATCTTTCGTTTAGAGAAAGTTGGCTGCTATAAATGTCCACGCGACAAGCCACTTTGTTGAGCTCTCATTTGTGGCCAGGTCGCTTCTGAAAAAGAGCTACGTAGCTCAGTAGGGCCTTACCTGGTAAAATAAAAAAAACTGTTTTAATAGCTTCATTTGCAGCACCCATTATTGGCTGCTTGCAGTTCATCACCATTCGCGTATGGTGACCTGTATAGGCATGCAGTTAAACAGCGTACTATTATTTGGTAATACGCTTCCAAGCAGCACTAAGCCTGTAGTTATTCGAACGTTTAAAATTATTTTCATTTCTCTAGATTCTCTAATTAGTCTTGGCCAGTAGTAAGTAGTTTCACACAAAACATCAACATTATCGAAATCAATTAAGTGTCCTTGTTGGCATGCGTGTTCGGCAACTGTTATTTTAGTCTTATGGTGATCAAGAAATGTAAACTGTTAAAATACCATACATTGCGGGAGTAACTAATAAACTAGCCAGAATTTTGGAAAAACATTCGAGTAAGATTTGGCACGGTACATAAAATACAAAAACTAATGTCTGGTATCAATCTAGATTTGAAGTTTTCGTGACTGCAGGGATCCATACTCTTTGGTTCTTTCGGTAAAGTCCCGTAGGTATAAATAATAAAATAAATTTAATTAGGACGTTTCGGGCGCAACACAAGCATCCGTCATCAGGTGGGACAACCACAGCAAGAAAGAATTGCTTAATCTTCAGCTGAATCTTCAGCAATTGTTTCATTATTTTATGTTTTTTATATCTACGTGACTTTACCGAAAGAACCAAAGAGTAATGTCTGGTACTAAAGATGTTTTGCCGAAGCTATACACAGAAGGTGTGTACCGGATTAATTGCTCCTTTGGTAAATGTTATGTTGGTCAGACGGGTGGTGGCGGGTTTAACGACACATTTATATTTACGTGATCTAACCCAACGACTACCTCTATCATCCATCATCCTTCGCGATGTCACAATTGGAATGATGGTGGCGACGCGGTCTCGCGCTCGCCCGCTCACCCGCCGGCCCTTGGCTGCTGGCAGTCGGGTGCCGGCCGGTCGGGCGCTCCCAGCGGGGGGGGGGCGAGTCGGGTGACGCGGTATCCGCAACTGGCACCCTGAGCGCCGTGCGGCGCCACCCCTCGGCTGCCCTGGCTTCCTCTTCCCCTCTAAAGGAGCTGCGGTCGAGGCAGCCGGGGCAGCGTGAAGTCAGAGCCGGCGCCGCTCAACATATCTAGGTTTGACTCTAAAGGTTCAGCCACCCATGGTAAACCGGTTCTCAAGTGTGGCGAGTTGATCGTCATAGCCCTGGCACCAGTGATGACAGAGACCTGTAGACTCACACAGACTGGGTAGTGATTAAACCGGGTTCTCAAGTGTATCGAATCGATGGCCTGAGCCCAGTTAACAACAAATGCACACGAAAAAATGACGTAAAATTTTGCGCGAGTCTATGAATTTGGCTAAATTCCAACCAGTGAGAATTAGCAACGTCGGTTTGACTGCCACGTAACAAAACATTTCTCTGCATCAGGCCACGTGGCTCAGCGATTCTCCTACGCCGTGCGAATAAGAAATAACCTGGAGGCATTGCAGAAGTCGTTTTGCGACATCAGTTGACGAGGTGCGACGCGGCGCTCTGCGAGGACACCAGCATCAGAGTCAGGCCGATGTTGGTGCGAGTGCCACGCGGCGACGTCGTCGCAGACATTCAGAGGCGATGACATCACCGCTGCCCTTGTGCCAGGCTGGGCGCGCTATAAGATCACGTGTGTCGAATGGTGCCATAGGTTGACTGAACGAGATGACTGACAGATGCACAACCTCTGCTCCCACTGTGCCAACTCGCTGCGTTTTAGCCACCTGGCACTCCGCTCGTTGTTGTGAGCATCGCTCCTCTGCCCTCCCGTTATTGTTGGAGGTCGACTGCCTCCAACTGCGCAGTAGCATCTTTCACGAGTCTCATTCACAGAGGCCTAATTTAACCACTGGTACCAGTCATCAGCAAGTTCACTCAGCTCCACATACTCCTGTACCACATCAGCCCATCTCTTCTCAAGCCAATGCAGCATCCATTTAGCCCCCTCTATGCAGCCAAACAGAAGCTGCTTGGGCATGCGGTGGATGGGCATGCAGGCTACAAGATCCAGCCATTGTAGCCTCGTCTACCAGAGGAGCTCAGCGCTGGGACTGTGTCCAGATCATTCAAGGATCTCTGAGCTCTTCACACAATCTAGTCTGGTTAAACCCAGGTTGGATCGTAGGCAGGCCAGCCAGTCCAGATGTTCCTTTAAATGGGTTCACGTTTCGCAAGCATAGAGAAGGGAGGGCAAGACTGTGAGCGAGCGACAGGCCGGGTGGCTTACATGCAGTTCCACGCAGCTGATGAAGAGATAATGCCGCTTGACTGATTAAGAGTGAGACTCCTGTTGTCCAGGTTATGGGAAATTCTCAACTCTCTAAAACTGCCCATTACTCATGGGGAGTTGAGGGGGTGGATAATTTGCTGACACAAATTACCCAGTGCATTGTTATTTTGATTGGGCTCATGGTTCAGTAGGAGTCTAAAACTCTGAGCAGCAATTACCAGAGTATCAGTATAACATGCTTGACCAAATAGGAAGCCATTCCTTGACCACACCTGAGCATTGATCATTATCTGTACCAGAAGAGAATTCCTCTGATAAAACCATGGAAAGTGTATTTAACCACATCGGCAAAACAGACATTAAATAATGTAGGAGCCAGAGGACATCCCTGTTGCAACTCAAGGTGAAAGGGGGAATGGCTCTGACTCCCAGCCACATAGCTGGCTGGGAGTCAGAGACCCTGAAAGCACAAACAACAACCCAGAGCCCTGGCCTACTGATGGTATACTAGGCCTTGACCATGTAAAAAAAGCAGAGATTTAGGTTCTGTTGAAATGAACTAGAACTCTGTTGCAGAAAACGGACAAGGAATGTGACGTTTGTACAGGACCGCCTCAGGCTAAAACCACATTGGGGCTCCGCAAGCCTCTCCTTGAGTGACAATGAACAATCCTTTCCAGGACCTTTGCCAGCTTCACTGAGAAGGGAATGCTACAGTAGTTGTTACAAACAATGCGGTCTCCCTTCTCAAAATGGGGGACCACCACAGCATCCTTACACTCCTGAAAAACCTGTCCTGTGGTTCAGGCGGTTGTAATTATGTCATGAAGGGCAGCCTGCACACAATCACCACCCTCTCTGAGCAGTTCGCTTGGGAGGTCATCTCTGCTCGGCGCTTTTCCCGGTCTCAGGCTTTGGATCGCTCTTAAAACCTCCTTAGCAGATTGTATATCATCAGCCAGCCACTCAGAGGGAGTGGCTAATTCCTCCAATATTTGAGGGGACTGCAGCCCCAGCAGGGTGATGTTATGTGGGCTGAGGGGTTTTTCCTGTCCCAGGACAGCAATGCTCAGCAAACCTGCAGACCTGTTCCTGGGGGTCGGAGATCGGATCACCACCTTTTCCCTTGGGGACGGTAATAGGTGTGGTGCTGCGAGTTACTTTTTTGATGGAAATAAAGAGTCATTTGTGATCGTGAAATGCTGAGGCATTTCCATCTCCTCAGCATCCCAAGACCACCACCCATCCTTGCAGAGGTGCATGGATCTCTAACCCTTTGAAAGGGCTTGTCACTTTCCCTCAGCTATTTCGAACACCTCCTCTGTCAGCAACGGTTTCTGGGGGAGGTCTGGTCTGCGTACCAAATGTAGCCATTGCAGCTGCATGAGCCACAGACCTGAACCTCACCCATTTCCCCTTGGCATCAAAAGGAGGGGTGGGGGGATGATTCCAACCCCAGCTGCAAACAATGATGGCAATCTCACTTGCAAACTTTCATCAGCGAGACGACGCCAAGCCGCTGTGGGTTTTAATGGGGTCCTAGGTGGATGCCCAAGACCGCAGTGCAAATAACAAGCCGATGATTAGTGGGAAAATCACCCCCACCGTGGGTCCCGGTGTCAAGGACATGGGCCTGTAATCTCTGTTCCATCACTCTGCAGGCCAGCAGATGTTCTTTCTTGGACCCGGCGTACATCCATGTTGTGTGCATTCACTGAAGCCGGAACAGCGTATTCGCGATTACAAGACAATGGGCTGCACATATGTCTAGAAGCCTCCTGCTTTTATTGATCTGATCTGGCCCATGCCTTCCAATCATTCCAGTCCAGGTGCATGTATGATGACCAACTCGGGCATTAAAGTCACCCAACAACATTAATTTGTCCTGAGGGGCCACTTTAGACAACATCGGGGAAAGGTCAGAGAAGGCATCCGACTCAACAGCCTCGCCTATATTACTCAAATAATTATTCATTTTGTGTGAGAGAGTAAGCCACCATCACCACCATTTCATGCCTCCCATTGACAGTAGCCTGGGAATCAGCTTCCCACACCTCACCGCCACACTCCCACATCCCCTTCAGTCTTTTGCTCAGAAAAAACCCCTCCCTGTTGTTTGGCAGTCTCCTGCCCCAAGTGAAGGACTGTCTATCCCTCATGGTGACCACAGCCACAACCATGTGAGCGTAAAAAATGAGAGCCTGTCACAGTGGCCCAGGCGGTGCCAGCGCAGCTCCCGACTGGGGAGCGGACAGCCTCTCCTCCGCAAGCGAGCGCTCGATCATTCGACGTGGATCAACCGTTTCTGAAAGAACCCGGAGGGGGTGGGGTGAGTGCTTCAGTTTCGCAGCTCGGCTATATGGGGTTTGGCCAGGAGACGTTATGACAGCCTGTCCCAACCGAGGCCTCCGGCACAAGCACAATCTTCATCGGCTGTTTCCATCGTGAGTTTTGCTGAAGTCAAATGAAAGTCAAAGGCGTTACGAGCCCCTCGCTAAACACGCAAAGACAAAGGTCCCCCATATAGCCTGAACAGACTGTTGGGGCAAGTACTGTAAGCGAGCCCCTATGAAGGGCAGTACGAAACACGACGGGGTGGGTGGACAACACCACGCCCGGCCGCCTTTGTCTCCCTAGTGCTGATATTTACACACTATACAAGGTACTCATTTTAACTCGGGTCGCTGGGAATGTAGCGCAGCTAACCGCTGCTACACTACCTACTAAGGGACGCACACAAGCACATACACAAACAAAGAAACACACACAGACTCACCTCCTTGATGGCTGACATCTTGGTGCTCTCGTAGTAGTGCAACGGAGCGCTCAGGTTACTCATATCGTAGCCGAAGCCGGCGACGTCCACCTCGTCGCAGTTGTGCAGCGCCATCGTGATGGCCACCGTGCCCAGTGTGGGGATGTTCTGCACGGTCAGAGGCGACAGTGGCACACAACGCCAAAACCAGCAGACACACAGAGATCACAAGACACTCACTTAGACCAGCAGACACACAAAGATCACTAGACACTCACTTAGACCAGCAGACACACAGAGATCACTAGTCACTCACTTAGACCAGCAGACACACAGAGATCACTAGACACACACTTAGACCAGCAGACACACAGAGATCACTAGTCACTCACTTAGACAAGCAGACACACAGATATCACTAGTCACTCACTTAGACCAGCAGACACACAGAGATCACTAGTCACACACTTAGACCAGCAGACACGCAGAGATCACTAGTCACACACTTAGACCAGCAGACACGCAGAGATCACTAGTCACTCACTTAGACCAGCAGACACACAGAGATCACTAGTCACACACTTAGACCAGCAGACAAGCAGAGATCACTAGTCACTCACTTAGACCAGCAGACACACAGAAATCACTAGTCACTCACTTAGACCAGCAGACACACAGAAATCACTAGACACTCACTTAGACCAGCAGACACACAGAGATCACTAGTCACTCACTTAGACCAGCAGACACACAGAGATCACTAGACACTCACTTAGACCAGAAGACACACAGAGATCACTAGACACACACTTAGACCAGCAAACACGCAGAGATCACTAGTCACTCACTTAGACCAGCAGACACACAGAGATCACTAGACACTCACTTAGACCAGCAGACACACAGAGATCACTAGACACACACTTAGACCAGCAGACACACAGAATCATTAGACACACACTTAGACCAGCAGACACACAGAGATCACTAGCCACACACTTAGACCAGCAGCCACACAGAGATCACTAGTCACTCACTTAGACCAGCAGACACACAAAGATTACTAGACACACACTTAGACCAGCAGACAAACAGAGATCACTAGCCACTCACTTAGACCAGCAGACACACAGAGATCACTAGTCACTCACTTAGACCAGCAGACACACAAAGATTACTAGACACACACTTAGACCAGCAGACAAACAGAGATCACTAGTCACTCACTTAGACAAGCAGACACACAGAGATCACTAGTCACTCACTTAGACCAGCAGACACACAGAGATCACTAGACACACACTTAGACCAGCAGACACACAGAGATCACTAGACACTCACTTAGACCAGCAGACACACAGAGATCACAAGACACTCACTTAGACCAGCGGACACACAGAGATCACTAGTCACACACTTAGACCAGCAGACACACAGAGATCACTAGACACACACTTAGACCAGCAGACACACAGAGATCACTAGACACACTTAGACCAGCAGACACGCAGAGATCACTAGTCACTCACTTAGACCAGCAGACACACAGAGATCACTCGACACACACTTAGACCAGCAGACACACGGAGATCACTAGACAAACACTTAGACCAGCAGACACGCAGAGATCCCTAGTCACTCACTTAGACCAGCAGACACACAGAGATCACTAGACACTCACTTAGACCAGCAGACACACAGAGATCACTAGACACACACTTAGACCAGCAGACACACAGAGATCACTAGTCACTCACTTAGACCAGCAGCCACACAGAGATCACTCGACACACACTTAGACCAGCAGACACACAGAGATCACTAGCCACTCACTTAGACCAGCAGACACACAGAGATCACTAGACACACACTTAGACCAGCAGACACACAGAGATCACTAGACACACACTTAGACCAGCAGACACACAGAGATCACTAGTCACTCACTTAGACCAGCAGACACACAGAGATCACTAGTCACTCACTTAGACCAGCAGACACACAGAAATCAATAGACACTCACTTAGACCAGCAGACACACAGAGATCACTAGTCACTCAATTAGACCAGCAGACACACAGAGATCACTAGACACTCACTTAGACCAGCAGACACACAGAGATCACTAGACACACTTAGACCAGCAGACACGCAGAGATCACTAGTCACTCACTTAGACCAGCAGCCACACAGAGATCACTAGACACTCACTTAGACCAGCAGACACACACAGATCACTAGACACACACTTAGACCAGCAGACACACAGAGATCACTAGTCACACACTTAGACCAGCAGACACGCAGAGATCACTAGTCACTCACTTAGACCAGCAGACACACAGAGATCACTAGTCACACACTTAGACCAGCAGACAAGCAGAAATCACTAGTCACTCACTTAGACCAGCAGACACACAGAAATCACGAGTCACTCACTTAGACCAGCAGACACACAGAAATCACTAGACACTCACTTAGACCAGCAGACACACAGAGATCACTAGTCACTCACTTAGACCAGCAGACACACAGAGATCACTAGACACTCACTTAGACCAGCAGACACACAGAGATCACTAGACACACTTAGACCAGCAGACACGCAGAGATCACTAGTCACTCACTTAGACCAGCAGACACACAGAGATCACTAGACACTCACTTAAACCAGCAGACACACAGAGATCACTAGACACACACTTAGACCAGCAGACACACAGAGATCACTAGTCACTCACTTAGACAAGCAGACACACAGATATCACTAGTCACTCACTTAGACCAGCAGACACACAGATATCACTAGTCACTCACTTAGACCAGCAGACACACAGAGATCACTAGTCACACACTTAGACCAGCAGACACGCAGAGATCACTAGTCACACACTTAGACCAGCAGACACGCAGAGATCACTAGTCACTCACTTAGACCAGCAGACACACAGAGATCACTAGTCACACACTTAGACCAGCAGACAAGCAGAGATCACTAGTCACTCACTTAGACCAGCAGACACACAGAAATCACTAGTCACTCACTTAGACCAGCAGACACACAGAAATCACTAGACACTCACTTAGACCAGCAGACACACAGAGATCACTAGTCACTCACTTAGACCAGCAGACACACAGAGATCACTAGACACTCACTTAGACCAGAAGACACACAGAGATCACTAGACACACACTTAGACCAGCAAACACGCAGAGATCACTAGTCACTCACTTAGACCAGCAGACACACAGAGATCACTAGACACTCACTTAGACCAGCAGACACACAGAGATCACTAGACACACACTTAGACCAGCAGACACACAGAATCATTAGACACACACTTAGACCAGCAGACACACAGAGATCACTAGCCACACACTTAGACCAGCAGCCACACAGAGATCACTAGTCACTCACTTAGACCAGCAGACACACAAAGATTACTAGACACACACTTAGACCAGCAGACAAACAGAGATCACTAGCCACTCACTTAGACCAGCAGACACACAGAGATCACTAGTCACTCACTTAGACCAGCAGACACACAAAGATTACTAGACACACACTTAGACCAGCAGACAAACAGAGATCACTAGTCACTCACTTAGACAAGCAGACACACAGAGATCACTAGTCACTCACTTAGACCAGCAGACACACAGAGATCACTAGACACACACTTAGACCAGCAGACACACAGAGATCACTAGACACTCACTTAGACCAGCAGACACACAGAGATCACAAGACACTCACTTAGACCAGCGGACACACAGAGATCACTAGTCACACACTTAGACCAGCAGACACACAGAGATCACTAGACACACACTTAGACCAGCAGACACACAGAGATCACTAGACACACTTAGACCAGCAGACACGCAGAGATCACTAGTCACTCACTTAGACCAGCAGACACACAGAGATCACTCGACACACACTTAGACCAGCAGACACACGGAGATCACTAGACAAACACTTAGACCAGCAGACACGCAGAGATCCCTAGTCACTCACTTAGACCAGCAGACACACAGAGATCACTAGACACTCACTTAGACCAGCAGACACACAGAGATCACTAGACACACACTTAGACCAGCAGACACACAGAGATCACTAGTCACTCACTTAGACCAGCAGCCACACAGAGATCACTCGACACACACTTAGACCAGCAGACACACAGAGATCACTAGCCACTCACTTAGACCAGCAGACACACAGAGATCACTAGACACACACTTAGACCAGCAGACACACAGAGATCACTAGACACACACTTAGACCAGCAGACACACAGAGATCACTAGTCACTCACTTAGACCAGCAGACACACAGAGATCACTAGTCACTCACTTAGACCAGCAGACACACAGAAATCAATAGACACTCACTTAGACCAGCAGACACACAGAGATCACTAGTCACTCAATTAGACCAGCAGACACACAGAGATCACTAGACACTCACTTAGACCAGCAGACACACAGAGATCACTAGACACACTTAGACCAGCAGACACGCAGAGATCACTAGTCACTCACTTAGACCAGCAGCCACACAGAGATCACTAGACACTCACTTAGACCAGCAGACACACACAGATCACTAGACACACACTTAGACCAGCAGACACACAGAGATCACTAGTCACACACTTAGACCAGCAGACACGCAGAGATCACTAGTCACTCACTTAGACCAGCAGACACACAGAGATCACTAGTCACACACTTAGACCAGCAGACAAGCAGAAATCACTAGTCACTCACTTAGACCAGCAGACACACAGAAATCACTAGTCACTCACTTAGACCAGCAGACACACAGAAATCACTAGACACTCACTTAGACCAGCAGACACACAGAGATCACTAGTCACTCACTTAGACCAGCAGACACACAGAGATCACTAGACACTCACTTAGACCAGCAGACACACAGAGATCACTAGACACACTTAGACCAGCAGACACGCAGAGATCACTAGTCACTCACTTAGACCAGCAGACACACAGAGATCACTAGACACTCACTTAGACCAGCAGACACACAGAGATCACTAGACACACACTTAGACCAGCAGACACACAGAATCATTAGACACACACTTAGACCAGCAGACACACAGAGATCACTAGACACACACTTA